GCCCAGCTCTTAGAGCCTCGCGTTTCTCCCCCTGCCACCGCACCCCCGGCACAAACAACCCGGAACCGCGGTGGCCTCCGGGCTTGCCCCTCGGCTGGACCCACAGTGGAGGCAGCCTGCTCGCCCGACTTGCTCCCCTGGAGTCTTGGGGGGGGGGGCGGAGCCTGGGATCTGGATCTGGATCTGGACCTGGACCGGGGACCCGGGCCCGGAGGCCCGCTCTCCCACAGGAATGCGGGGAGGAGTCGCGTTCCCTGTGCGCTCCCTGGCGCTGCAGGTGGACCCCAAAGTGAGAGTCATGAGTGAGGCCGCTAAACGGAGGAACGGATGGGGTGGATTAGCACACAAAAGGCACACTGACTTCAAACGGAAAGACAGGCTTTAATAACAACCAGAAAACACACAGTGAGGCAGACACCGCAGTGTGACAGGCTGAGGTCCCAGGAGGAAGAAAAAGTCCTTTGTTCCAAGCGCAGCGGAGCCTATAAGATGGCCACCCGCCAATATTCCCAGAAATAAAAACAAAAGCACAAGGGGGACCACGGCTCGTCAGGATGAACAAGGCCAGGGAATAGGCCTGCTCTGGATTCAAAGGAAAAACACGGACCACTGGAGGCCATGGGAAGGGAACAATGTTACCAGATACATGTAAACACTGAGCCGCCCAGCCATTGGCTCCGTGGTTGAGCAAGGGCCCAGGAACCAAGAGGTCCCGGGTTCGATACCAGGCTTGCCCACTCCATCCCCAGTAGGGGGCTTGCTGGACGCAGCTGACCGCTCTCCTCTCTCTATTAAATCAAAAATGTACACATTCGACCGATGTTTCTCTCTCATCCATGTTTCTATCTCGCTATCGCTCTCCTCTCTCTATTAAATCAAAAATGTACACATTTTAAAAACGAAGTGAAACCTCATTAAAGAATATTTTAAAATCTTGAAGAGTAAGATATATTTGAGAGTTAACATTCCACCACATAAAAAGTCCATTCACCCTCAAGACAGAGAAAGAAGTAACAGGCCAGTTTCAGGGTCAACAGTGGCCTTCTGCAGCAGCTGCATGTAGGTGAGGTTCTCGTGCGTGTTGGGGTCGAAGAAGCCCTTGGTGTCGTCGCTGGGGTCGGCCAGGACGCGGTTCATCTCCTCGTCGAAGTAGCCGTTCTTGTAGGCCACCTCCACGGGCACGCGGTGGCTGTGCACGGGGTCGATGATGCCGCCCGTGGCGATCTGGGCCTCCAGCAGGCGGATGCCGTGGTCCCGGACGATCAGGTCTTTCTTCATGGCCTGGAAGAGGGAGATCTGCTCCCCGGTGTAGGGGTCGGTGTAGCCGGTGACCGCCCGCTCGGCCGACAGCAGCTTGT